AAAACCCAACGAGAAGAAAAAAAGGAAAATAAGAATCTTACAGTCCTTTTCTTTTTTTACAGCTTCAAAACTGTGGATGTAGAAATCATGGCTTTTACATGCTTTTTTTTTTTGGTTGTAGCTTTAGAAATTAACATAAAGTTTGATTGGTGGTTTTTAGGGCTGTAAAAAAAAATTAAGACTGTAAGTAGTTTTTACAGCCCAACCAACCATCCCTTAAATTCTATCTTCATTTCATTGTAAATATTGGTTAGGATTGTAATAAGGGCCTTTTAATTATATGCCCTTAAAACTATCATTGTATACTGTTTGTTTCCAAACCAGGCCAAAGTTGTGTGGGAAGAGGTTTGGTTCTGAATGGCATAAGGTGTGTTGGGGATTCCACACTTGCAAGATCCATCTAGGATTTTTGCTTTCGGATTAATTTGATGCATATTCTTTTGGTTTGAGATTTTTTTGGGTTTTTTTGAACATGTAATCATTTTGTTGAGATATTTTGATACGATTCTACTTCCTTGATATGAAAAAATTTGTTGAAATTATAGAACTACACTATGGTTTAATACCACGGATTTGATAGTATTCCACTATTTGGAATTTTATTAATAATGGTTTATGACGCATTTGAAGGCGCCAAAACGCAGTTTCGGTAAATTTAGATTTGTGATATCCGACCGTTAAATCAAATAGATCTCTAGTTTTCCATTTTCTCAAACTAAACCCAAGCAGGATGATTGGAATGAACTTCAGTGTCACGCATTTAAATCGTTTGGTTCTCCTACGATACCCCACATTTTAGTTTCATCACTTGACTAGTCATGAATTTTAAGGACTACATTGATTTTCTCTACTATTAACCGTATTTGGAAAATGTATTTGATTTGCTTCTACATTTTATCGTCTTTGATCATTATAATATTAATATGTTTACCACGAATATAATTTACTTAATAACAATTAGAATAAATTTGTATTCACTGTTGAAAATCTAATCACCAAACACCATTTTCAAAATCAACATGTCATGTACGGAATCCATTTTGCTTATTGTCGTACGGAACTCGTTATTAATTTTTATTAACATACAAAATAATTGACTCAAGTTTTTTTTTTCAAAAAAATAAAAGCTTTCAATTTTCTTCCTTCTCTCTAATATATAAATATTAAAATACGTACAAATAATAACATGTCATCATCACGATTCACGAATGCAATAAAAGGAATATATAGAGAAATTAATTACGAGTCGGGTATTGCTTTGTATGTCGCTGTCTGTTTGGTATTACTTAGACTTTTTGTAAAATCAAATCAAAATCCATATATTTGTTAAGAAGATTTCCTCTTTAAATATTTTTCGATACGAGTTGGACAATATTGACGTACGGAGACTTCCACACGCAGCTAAAAAAAAAAAAAAAGTCAACATTTGTTCTGGTCATCATAATGGCTACCCATTTACAGTTTTTGCCTTTTTATTTGCTTTTTGAGAATTGATTCAGCCTTTGCCTGCCTTTTCATTATATGAGATTTTTGTTTTTCTCTACGGTTGACATGTCGTTTCAGTTTAGGAAAACAAATCGATATTCGTTTTAGGTGTTAGATGTCGGCAGTTTAAACAGTTGATTTCAAATAAATTTTTGATATCCATACATGTACTTTGTATCTATGAATATTTTCTGTAATATATGTATTTGTTGTTTAAAGATGACTTAAAATTTAATTGCATTAGAACTTTACTCGAGCGAGCAGAAAAATGCAACACACCGGAAAAAAATTGTGTTTTTGCTAGTGTCGGATT